TTTGCTTGATTTTACTATGATGACCAGACCGGTACCTCAGCCAGTGCTGGTTCAGTAGTATCAGTTTTTACCAGCAGAATTTAGTTGCTACTTTTTCTTTACTGATATTGTATCTCCATCTAGCATGCGCATTTTTGACAACACTCTTGGATCTTTAGTAATCTAATGCATAATGTCTTTGATGAACTTGAATCTGTTAAACACCTCATCAGATTCTCTACAGTTTCGGAGGAGTGAAGTTGATTTTTCCAGTTCTCTGCCAAGTGTTGAGGTAATTTCATTTGCTTTCCTTTTTTTCCCCTCCATTCTTCTTCTAAACTCATGTTAAGGTAGTTTTTTAAGTTCAGAATATTACCTGTTGGGGGAAAAAAATATGCCCTACAACTGTTCTGAGGATTCCAATAGCTTCATGTCTTTGAATCAAGATTAATGCTTTTCTGAGAAATATATTTTATCTGAAACCAAAATACTGTCCTTGAACTCGGTATTAAAGCAGAAGCAAGAAAGCACTGCTGCAAATAATATGATTTATGTCATTCTACACTGTAACCAAGCATCTTCTTTAATACTGATCATCTGATAATGCACCCATTATCTCAATATTATGCTAAATCTTAGGCAAGTGAAGCAGGACCATCAGGAAGCAATGCTGAAAATAGGAGGAGGTCTCTTTAAAGGAACTAGAAGGGCCAACATATCAAAAAGGCACCCAAGGCTAGAGGCTGTCTTTCCTAAGCACTTAAAAGCTCCTTGTAAATGCTAGCATTGATTATAAGGAATGGACCGCAGACCAGAATAAAATTGCCTGGGGAAAAACTTCACTTTCAATCTTTCATTTTTCCCTTAAAACATTTTTAATAAGGGTCACACATGCATGAGCTGCAAAAATGTCAAGAGTCTGTAGCTCTCAATATCCTGAGGACCGTTTCCTTCACAGAATGAGGTTTTCTGTTCAAATTTTAAACTTTGGGAAGCCAGACAGACTTATCTGTTCTCAATGTTCCTTTTTGGAACACTGGAGACAAGTTTCTGCTCCACACACAAAAATTAGTTCAGAAAAAAAATAAGAAGAAATGAAGTGTCAGTTCTTATGGACCTAGACTTTCAAATTTGTGGTTTTATATTCCATATGGCATCTTCTCTGGGTCTTTGGAAAGTTCCTCAGGTTTCAAGGAGTCCCAGGAGATGAATATCTTAGGAGTCTTCTGGTGACTCCCAGGGGCTGTTTTACTGCTGATAAGCTCTCTAAGCCCAGCAATGGGTTGCACAGCAAATTTTTGAATATCCTGGTAGGTGATGTGGGAGATAATGGACAGATTTAGAAACTCGCATTGTTCCTATCATAATTGTGTCCAAATGAATGGATCTATGCTTCCATTTTAAAGAACTGGTATTTTCCAGCACAAAAAAAATATTCCTTAGGAAAAATATTCCTTAGGAAAATCTTCAGTATGTTCACAATTCAGTATGTTTTTTTTTTTTCCTTCCCTAACAAATACCTGTCCAATCCAGTTAATAGGATTAAAAGTGGAATGGAGTCATGAAGGGATTATTGACAAACTGTTTTGAAAATGCTTACAGAATGTCTAAATCCTCGCTAGGAAATTGCTGACACAAACTGAGCTTTTCATGGGAAAACTTGAGATACTGATGCTCCTCTCAATGCAGAGCTGCAGATCTCGTGCAGGGTTTCTAGGGATGCTGCCCCTAACATGCTAAGAAATGGCACCTGTGTAGTGATATGGTGGCCAAACAAAATTGTAAAAATACATTTTAACAGGGAGTCTCAAGGATCTGAAGTACAGTCATTCAATTTAAAAATCAACATCACTGTCATTGATAATAGTAATATTCATTTTCCATATTCTTCTGGCATCTCCAGACTCAGGAACACCTTATAGAGGAAAATAAATGCAATTACTTTCATTTCCCCAAATAAGAGAGAACCTGAGGCAAGAGCAGTGAAGGGGCTACCTCAATGCACGCAAGGTTAGCAGCATCCAGGACTGAGCCTCCGCTCAGGCTCCATCCATCCTCTGCTGCAATAAGAGGTTTGCCTCATTGCTCAGATTCCTCTCCTGTGAATAATGACTAATGCTATTGAAAAAAAGAATTCTCTCATTTCCTAGATGTACAAATTGCCCACAAATATTTATTCATATTTTTAAACAGCATTGTGAATGTGTGGGCACTTTCAAAGTGTGCGTTTTTCGTGACTATCGTAGCGCGTGAGTTTGTTGGCAGGCATGTTGCTGTAGCACTGTTTAATTTTGAGGCGTGTTTATTCAAAGTAAATACTTGGTGCGCTGTGACTATTCTGCCTTCGTGTGTACGCAAAGAGCAGCCCGGCCCCTTGGCCTTCCCTCCCCCTTCTAACCAGCACTCAAAGGCATTTCTTCCTATCGGATATGCTTCGGAGAGCATTCGCAATGAAGCTGGAGCCCTGTAATTGACTGTGGACATTAATTAGCAAAGATTATTAAATGGTTAATTTTATGGATATTAATGACCTTGGTAAATTTTATGGAGGAAAAACAGGAAAAAAAAAACCTTCTCAGGAGGTCTAATGAGGAAGTCATTTCCTCTAAGCGTGGCTCTGTGCCATGTGGCTAGCATCATGCCACGCTGTTACACGTGTGAGATGTGTTCGGACAGGCCGAGGACTGCGGCCCGTCTGTGCTAAACCCCTTGGTGCCCTATTTATACAGGCTGCAGCCTTTAATATGTGGGAGTAACCCGCAGCCTGTGAATAAAGACATTGAATTCAGCTGACACAGCCGTTTCCTTGACCCATGGTGCAGGCAGAATCCGGGCAGGAGTGTGGAGGTGAGGCGGGATGTCCCCATGCTCCCCGTGTTCCTGCGACCTGCCATCACAAAGCCACGCGCCGCTTGTGGTGTTATCCTTGTTTTTTTGTTGTAGTAGTAGTAATAGTATCAGAGACTCGCGGGAGGGAAAATATGTGAAACCCACACTGAATTAGATGGTTTTGCCTCATAGCAGAAGCGCTGTAAACCTGTTGTGTTCCTCTGGTGTGTTTAGGGCTGCTTTTGTCAAGTCGTGGCACGTTGTCGCTTATCCCAGTGCCTTTAGCTCTTGCTTTCATTATCGTAAGCTTATTCAGAGGCTTCTAGCTTTCTCTTTTTGTGTATAATAATTAATTTGTGTAACTCAATGTCATTGGCGTTGTTGTATTTCCAGCACAATAAAAATAAAAATCCTGTACAAGTTGATCGCACTGTAACTTGCCTCCTACAACCTTAACTCCTGCACCTCTTCACAGCAGTCCTCAATAGTCATTTGGAGTTTGACAAATTATATTGGTTAAAAAAAAAAGATTATATCTACTTATTGATAACAATTTTACAGCTAAAATGGTATTGTCAGAAGTTCAGATTGAGCAGTTACTTCGGAATACCATGCAATGAAATATGTCTTTTTCAGAGTACAAGGTGAAGTTATTTATGATAGCTTTATAATCAGCAAATTAGGCAGTGGAAGCTATCTGAAGACAAGTGCTTGATGATTAGCTCCATTATTTCCAATGGAAACCTTCAGAGCTCTTTTAAAATCCATTGTAAAAAAAAAAAAAAAAAAAAAAAAAACAGGAAAAAACCCCCTTCTGTTGTAATTCACTGTTTTTCACTTGAAATTTTTTAATAAGTGTTAATAAGTTTAATAAGTGTTACCAACTACATGGAATATTTACAATGGAGAAATTTTTACTGTTAAAATCTCCAGCCTTTCTAAAATGTACATGATAACACAGGGGACATTGTGTCCAAGCCTTTGCCTGCTCATTTAAGCAAACTGGTGAGACCAGCAGCTGCTCAAGCTTTTCGGCCACGTTGCCTTTGAGGTCACTGGCTGAACAAGATTTGTGGTAAACTTTTAGTTTTCTCATCATCTCTTTTGCACCTTTTCACTCTCACACGTGCACTTGTCACCTCACATGCACATGCATTAATGACATGTTTGTTTGCAGGATGGAGAAGATGGTTGTTGTACCTCTCAAGGAGGCCACGCGCATGTACTATGAGTAAACTGTGTGATAAGCTATGTAAATTATGTGCACAGAAGCTACACTTTGCCCTTGGGGAGATGCAAATGAGAACATTTTACAGTTTGTTTGTTTTTAAATACATGCACTTTTCACTTACAGGCTCAGGACGGACTCTGCCTGTTTATTTTCCCATTGCTCATCATCTTTTTTTTTTTTTTTTTTTTGCAAATAGTCTTTAATGATTAGTTTGCTACTTTGGCAGGAAAAACAATTGCAGGATGAGTAAAGTCCTCAGCACATAACATTTGGTGCATTCTATGGATGTGCTGTAAGGGAATTATCTGCTTGTGAAAGGGGGTATAACGCCCTCACAACTCAAAGGCATTATAGTGAGCTGACAGTCTCCATTCATTTCCTCTTCGTGTTGTGTTGTTTTCTTCTGCTATGTTAGTGTTCATACTATATTTATTCCTGCGTTACTAAAACACACAGCTAACTGATTTTCCGTATAAAGCAAGAAAAATGTGTTCATAAAATGTGCTGTTTGCTACATTTGCAGCTCTCTTACTGATGTATTTTTCTTTTTGTATTAATAAAATTATTTTAGTACTCTTTAAGTAGCCTTTTGGAGAAATGTTTTAATGTAAGTTGTCTGATTCTGTTTTAAGTGAAGGAGAAAACCTGGTAGAGGTTGTCTCTTTAAATCAGATCTGCAGTGTTGATGGACCCTCTAGCAGGCACGGTAAGAACCATTCTCACCTCTGCAGCAGGGAGCTTGACCATATAGACTCGCACATTCAATCAAAACCTTTTCCCTTTTAATATGCACTGTACTATGCACTATTCCCATGGTTACAGCTTGTGCTTCTTTGGTTGCTTCCAGCCTGTTGGAAAAGGAAGGCAGCACACATTTTTTGCACAGGAGTTTAAAACATCATGAAAGCAACCCTGTTGTGATTTGCATTTTAAATGTTTCTTTTTTTTTCTCATTGTACAGAATGCTGTAGCAGTAGCTTCAGTTCATTTGCCACAGTCTGTCTTCGCTCAGTCTTCAGCCTGGCAATCTGTTGATAACTCCACTTGCAAGCTACAGTTTATTGTCTTTCGGAATGGAAAACTCTTTCCCAGCACAGGGAACTCGTCAAATCTTGCAGACGATGGGAAACGCAGGACGGTTGCCACACCAGCTGTTTTTGCTAAAATAGGTGAGGACTTGTTATGCATTATTTCCTTTAATCTGAAAGCTGTGGTATACTTGATTATGTAGAGAATAGAGGAGTAGAGTGCACGGTATGCTGAGAGGCTGGGAACAGTCTCTCTCTTTTACCCAAGCATTTGGATTTATTCCTATCTGCATGATTTTATTCAGGTTATTCTGCAAAGAAAGAAATGCAATTGCTGTATGACTGGAATGCAAATTTGGGATTACTCTTTGTTGACATTGTTGTTTCAGATGCTTGTTTTCTCAGAGCAAGGTGCCATAGGAAGGAACCTTGTTATACTCTTTAGAATGAGAATCACAATACTGACAACCGAGACACTGATAAAAATAAGATTGTTGGGGTGGGAACAGTGCCCTGTTGCATGTATCAATACTTTGTGATATGATGAATCTAAAACAGGTGGTGTTAAAGGTTTTTGGCTAAATGTGATGGAACATATAAACTAGTGAGTCATTATTTTGATTAATTATTCACCCAGGCAATTTTAATAATTTTATTTGAATCTGAATAGAGTTTACATTTCTCTTAGTATTTTAAAGATGTTTAAATGTAACTTTCAAAGTGCAAAATTTTCTTAGCTGCTAATCATACCATGGAACCCGAGCCCTTTTTGCAGTTGTATGAGCAGTAGTGAAACATCGTACCTAATTTAAGAATCAAAAGAAAAATCAGCTTTGTGAAGGAGGATGAGATCACTTAGACAAATTATGAGACTGAAATGTGCATTCTGTTTTATTTAAACTACTGCAAACTTTTCTGAATGTGAACATTACCTTTAATTTTAACCATTAACAGCATGTATGTATTGCTTTGTTTTCTGTAGTTTCAGTACATTTGATGTCTTTACAGAGCATGCATCACTAAAGGGTTTTCCACTCCATCTCTCTGATTCAGTTTGTTGCTTTTGCAGATGGGTGCAGCTTTGGAAACCTTACCAGCCCTCTGACTATAGGGTTGAGGCACTTTGCACGGGGTATAGACCCCATTGCAGCCTTCTGGGATTTTGACCTTCTAGATGGACATGGAGGCTGGTGGGGAGAAGGGTGCCACATAATCAGTTCTGCAGGCAATATTACCACCATTCAGAGTACACACTTCAGTAACTTTGCAGTGCTAATGGTAAGTATATGACTTAGCAAATATACCCTCTCTCTCTCTCTCTCTCTCTTTCTCACTCTCTTTTTTTTTTTTCAAACATATATATGCTCTTTTTACGTGTACCCGTATCATTCTTATCTGTCAGTAACTGACCTTTCTTTTTCTATAATGTTTAATACAAGGCAGTCTTAAACTAAGTTATTTAACTGCTAGTAAGTGAATAAACCTGGTCAGCTCTAATATCCAGGGAGTGACCTAATCAAGAATGACATTAAATTTGGTCTTACAAGTGAAAGTTCCATCAAGGAATGATCAGTGTACGGTGGTTATAAATTATAAGACAGGGTTTAAAAATGTATACTCCTGTGTGCTTTTACATCAGTGCATCTCCGAGGCTGGTCTGCTTTTGTTCCTGCCCTGCACTGTGTTGATCATACTAATTAGTTGCAGGCATACCGCAATGTTGAATCATTTAATAAATGGAGAGGAATAACATCTTGTGCTCTTTTAAACAAGGACAGTGTTGTCCTTGTTGATCTTGTAGGGGTTTTAGTTTGCATACTGCTGCCGATAGCCTTTTTTTGCTAGATTGCTGCTCAGGAAGAAAAATATTTCAGTGCAGCGCTAACCCATCAGCCAGCTTTGATCTGTTCTCAGTCACACTCGCAGTTCACATTGCAGTTATTTAACTGTCCTGCTAAGCAGAAAGTTACCTTTTGTGACAGCAAAAAGATTATGTGTGCCATAATGACACACGTTACCGCCTGGGGCACAGTGGAAAGCAAGCAAAAATCCCTAAAGTCCCCAACAGCTACCAGTGAGAAAAAAAGCCTGCCCTATTAAAAATATTGATTAGAAACTGATTGCAAAAAGATTATTCAGATGCTTATGCTTCCTAGCAGCTCAGTCCTGGTGCCTGGCGCTGCTGCCTGTGCTCGTCACCACGGTGGGGACAGTTGGGCAGACGCTGTGTGGTGTGCGCATGGGGGACAGCGAGCACAGGCGCCGGCGATCGCCGGGACGTGTGCAGGGAATACCAAGCTGCTGCTGTCAGATGGAGGCCAGATGGAGCCAATAGCGGCGCGCCGCTCCAGCACTCGCGAGTTAAACGCGGGTATTATCGGCCACGTTGGAAGAACCCATCTCCCTCCGAGTTGCGTGGAGGCTGCGTCGCTCCTGTCAGCGTCATTCAGGATTCTAGAGCTCCTCCTAAGATCTGAGAGCAGCGGATCTACCTCGTAGATACAGCTGCCTTAAGTTCTCTTTTTTTTTTTGCCCCCCAGGCCTCAGTTTCCCCAAATCCGAATCCTGGCGGCACTTTGAGGATGTGTTGGTGGATTCATTCAGGGCAGGACCTGTTGCCTTTGCAGAGGCCACACCCAAAACGGCGCCCGCCAGGCCGCAGCCCAGCCTGCCCGTCCTCGCCTTTCTCCCTTATTGACCGTGGGCTAATCCCATTTGCAAGCAACCAACTCCAGCATTGGGTCCTGTTTGCAAAAAATCATATCCTAGCATAAGAGCTGCAATTTGTTTTTAGTTTGCAAAACTGAACACCGGTTTGCCTCTGGTAAAATGCAATTGGTGGCTTTTCCACAGCCCAAAAGGCAACTTAAAGGTTTTTGTCCTTGGTCCATTGTTTGTTTCTTTGTAATGCAACTTTGCTTCTTTCTTGTGTGCATCTCGTTTCCATCTATGCGAAATCTTAGACTTGCTTGGGCTTCGTTGTTGCTACAGTAGCAACCGTGCTAATGTGGCGTGTGCCTTGCTCACGTTTCATGCTTATGTTAGGAAAAGAGATGCCCAACTTGAGGTTATCATAATGCGCACATATGATGCATATGTACAAATGCATCTGCCAGCAGCTGTCTTTCTAAACAGCTCGTGGAAAACTTTTGCAGCTTTATTATGTGCATCTGTTCCCATACAAGCGAGCACAATATTTGCTAATTGGTGTTTTGTGGTGTAATGTCATGGACTTGCTTTGATTTGGATTATATTTTCTGTGCAGTTCAATTCTCATATGAGCAAGGAAAAATATTTAATTGTTCTCCCTTGTTGTAACTTTCCAATGTGAACAGCATGCAGTTCCTATGTGTATCGGCTGATATCACCTCTGAGTGGCTGATGCATTTTAAAATACTAACAAACTGACAGTAAATTCAAAATAGTTAGCAGTAGCTAGCAGCTGGCCAGTGGAATTCGATTCAATGTCACGATAAATGTTATTTTTTCTGTATAATATAATCAAATATATTAAACCATAAAGATTCATAATTGATTATTATGTTGTGGAGTAATTGCCATAAACATGATGTAATAGCTGTAAACTGAAGTGCAGCAAAAGAGCAAGAGTGAACCTGAAGGTTTACATTACTGTCTAAACGCAGTATATACAGACAGGGCACAAGATGAAGTAGAAGCCTTGCTTAATCCAGGTGTCCGTTGTTTAGCTCGTAGATAGTGCATATTCTGATTCATCAGTGCTGCTCGTCATTTTTTTTCATATTAAGACAAAGTTCATGAACTATTTTATGCAAGTCATTTTTGCCCATGAACCATAAAAGGCTAAAAATAAAGGATTCATGGGGTCCCTTTCGAGAAAAGCTGTAATCAAGGATTTATCAACTGCGATTGATAATTAATGAGTGTGAGCATGCTTCAAGTGAGAAGATTCATGTTGAGATGTTTCTTTTCTGTCAGTGAGTACTGTCAGCTCCTGTTAAAGTAATGTCAGTACGAAAGGGTGCAGTGTGGCCACTGAGTTGGAGATACAAGGATGCGTGCAACGCCCTCGCACATCTCTGCGTTGGGGAAGCAGGTCAAGTTGAAGAGCAAGTTCAGACAAAAGAGCGTAACACAGCATTGTCTTCTGCTGGTCAGCTCTTTATTGGCAGTTTCCAGGGGTGACAGCAAATGCTGTGAACCTCCTGAGTTATATTCCTCTATTTTTCTTCATTTACTGTGTGTTTAGACTAGTCTCCTGCCTTCACTTTCCACTGTTCCCTCTGGATGAAAGACAGTAGCAATCTAATTTCTCCTTAGAACTGGCCAAAGACCTGTGGGGCGTTGAACTGTGAATATCTGCAATATGTGGGTTTTTTTGTTGGCGGTGGTGGTGGATTTTTCTAGAGTAACATTTGAAATCTATTCTGTAGCTTGGGAGTATCCAGATACCAATATCTGGTCTATAAATACAGTGCATTTGTGCTCTTCCGTGAAATGAGCTTTATGTTAGTATTTTAATTCTTCAAGATTGTACTTGTTTGTTATGAGCCATGTAGTGGCCTGCAGCAATAGTGTGTGTGACCAGAAGTGTACCTCTCAGAAGATAACAATATCTAACAGCAACATCTGAACTTCACAGTAGATTACAAAATTTGCTAAATAGGTTTTGACATATGTTGACCTTTGTTCTTCCTTTCATTTTTCTTGGAATAGAGTGGCAATTCAGTAGTGATGAATATTGCTCTAAATGTGTGTAGCATGTCCTTTTCCCCCTTAGATGCCATTGTCTAGTGATTTCCTCAAATTTTGCAAATAAGCTGAGGTAAATTTCTTAAATTTGTCTATGTATGCAAATTCTTAATTGAGGGAAAATGGATTAATAAACCTTGATAACATTTTTTTATAAGCTTGAATATAGGTCAAACAAACATGAGATTGTAAACAATGTTCCTATTTTTGTCACAGTTGAGTGCATCTCTTATTCAAAACAATGTAGGTGATTTTTTTTCCCCTGTGAACACAGAGTCATTCTTTCAGAAAGTAGCTTACAGTCAGTAGATAGTTATTTGAGATAATTAGGTCTGAGGAGACTGAGCTGACGAAAACACGACAAATTTGAAACTTTTCTGAAAACAAACCTTGGAAAAATCTCCGTGAAAGAGACACTGAGGAGAGGCAAGGCAGTGGTAATGGCTCACACTAAAAGAGTTAGAGGGTTTTAGAAGCATTCTGTGATCTTTCACATTTTTCCAAGATGGAAAGATCCCAGTACCACAAAAGCTACTTTCTCAGTATTTTTAATGTGACTGGACTGCAAATTTTCTGAGGCCCATTTAGTTCTGAAAACAGATAGTCAACTCAACTTCCATAACTCAAGGCTTCTCCAAAGAAAACCATCTGTCTAAACCTTTTAAAAATTAAATCATGATTCACAGAAATATTATAGAAACATTATTTAGCAGGTTGATATAATTATTGTATTTGATATTTTGCTCATAGAGAACACAAAGTTTTTGCATTAAAGTCTGGAAAAGTAGTTCAGTACTTTCAGAAATCTGTCTACTTACAAAGAGATTTGTTTAAAAGTGAACTTTTCGAAGCTTTTTGTCTATAAAAAGCAATCACACGTAGAAATTATGCAAATTATGAGCACCAAAGACCAAGAATATGGATGACAAAGACGAATCACTAACTAAACTAAAAGAAACAAGGCTGTCTGGTGGACTGGAATCAGTGAAATTCTAGCATTAACTTTGATGCTTGTGCAGAGATGCTGCTCAGTGTGAGTAGCTGGAGGCCTGACCTCTGCTGTCATTCAGAGACTGGATCAAGAGGCACATACTCATCACCTCAGCTGACGTGTGCTGCTCACGTAACAGGGAGTGTTCAGGGTATATGGCCAGCTACTCAGCAAAGGTTGCTTTTATTTCAGAATACTCTTGATGGTGCCTATCTTTTGTATAACGCATTGGGTTAAAGTACTCGTATGAGACAGCAAGATCTCCTTGGCTTACTCCTTGATTTATATTTACTTTTTATTCAATTATACTGAATAATTTATATAATATTCACTATGTAAAATGCATAAACTGACTTGGCACTGGGGACCAAAATCCAGGCTCATCTGCTTCCTAACTGTCCTGACTTTTTAAGAAATCAAGCTTCTAACTGAAGCTCTTTCTTTTATGTCTTAATGGATCTTCCGTTCTTCACTCTGCATCTTTAGCAGGAGGGTAGGGGATGCAGACTATGAATAAGACCAATAAAATAAGATGTCTCCTGAGAGATAGAAGATGTACATCAAAGACCCAGGATCTCCATCGCCAGCTACCCTACTGTCTTACCTTGCTTTACTGTTTCCCTACTGTCAATGTCTTTCTTGTACTCATGTGCTCAAAGTGGATGCAGCGCTCAAGATTTACTCTCTCAAATGCTGGATTAAAGAGAATGATCTCTTCACTCAACTTGCTACCTAGACTCTTTCTAATATAGTCCAATATGTGGCTACCTTTGCATGCTGCAAGGGCACACTGCTGACTTGCTTTCAATTTGTTTTTTGCCAGGGCGTCCTGATGCTTTCCTGCAAAGCTTCTTTCTGCCTGGTGTCCCCCAGCCTGCGCTGCTGCAGGTGTTATTCTGGCCCAGAGTCAGGAAAGTCTGTATTTGCCTTGGCTGAACTTTGTGAGGTTCCTGTCAGCCTATTCCTCAAGCCTTTTGAGATCCCGCCAAATTGCTGCCTTGCTCTTCTGCATATCAAGTGCTCCACTCAATTTGCATTGCAGTGATTTTGGCTCTCCATACAGAGGCCAAACTCATTGCCATATTCAGGTTCTCCTAATCATGCTAACAGAGCTTGTCATCTAATTTTTAAGTTGTATATTGCCTAGGAATCTATAAATGTGAATATGGATCTAAATCTAACCCAAGGTCATTGTTTCAAAGCTCTTCTGTTTCTAAGTCTTGACTTGAGAAACACAATTTCACGTGTCCTGCTTTAAGCACAGAATTCAATTACATCATACTTTCTGAAGTCATCATATAAGCATAAAAAATCTTTAATTTGCCAATAATTATATGAATAACAAAAATATACTAGAATTAGACTCCTTTTTTTAGCATTTGTGATCTAGTGAAATATCCCAATATTTATTCTATTGTATCTTACCTTCAGCCACGTCTGTATTTGCTGTATCTCAGGATTGCCTTCAGTATACGTTATCTATACACTATAGTGACTTCAAAGTGACTTCTAAGTTATCAGTATAGATATATCAGTTTTAGTTGACTTTTGGAATGAAGTTGCAAGTAAAGGTTACAGTTCGACTGTCACTGCACTGTTTTCATAATTCCCATTGTTGGATGAAACAGCTGATAAAATGTCTTTTCTGTCACTAATTTACATCACTAGTGTGTTTAGTGCTTTATTAATGATAGTGCCATTTATGCCAGAGGCTGCTTGGTTCACATCTTCTTGTAAGGGTAAATGAAAGACTATGTCTCATTAGGCAACATTTTGCTGGCCTTGTAGTTGTAGATTACAGTTCCTTTGTAATGTTAAAAATCTTGTGTATATTCATTTTCTTGCAGAAAATTCCTTCCAATTTCACTATTATCGTCCTTTTAATCTTCAAGAAATAAAATCAAAAACCCCTTGTATAAATGTGGCATACAATTAGGCTACTTTGCCTATAACATGGGGAAAAAAAAAAAAAAAGAAAAAACATTCTTTTCTGCTCACTGCCTTCCCCAGAGAATTACTCAGGGAATGTTGACAGATCAATAAGTTCTAATTATCATTAAAAAGAAGACAAGATAAGTTTATTATGTATCTGTAATGAAATCAGTTTTCAAAACACAAAACTCTTAAAGAGTCTTCTACACTGATAATAATGCCTTATGGTACCATTACTTAAAAGTTTTACCACTTATTTACTAAGATTAGAAAAGGGATGATAAAATATGAATACTTTTAAATGTAATTAGCTCTAAGATGCTGATTGTTCCCGATTCTTCTGCAGGCGAAATTGCTGTAACACTGTAGAGCATATGGCATTTGCTTTTATATAAGTGCCCAAACACACAGTGATTGGTCAGTCCCTGCATTTGCACTATTAAAATCTAGTTCTTTGAGTATTAAATGATGCCACCTCAAGTTGCCTTGTTATGCTGTTACATAAATGCATTGCTTTCAGTTTTCTTTTTCACAATTCTGTTAACATTGCGGTCATCTTCCCAGAAATATCTGAGACATTTATGTCTTTAAATAACGGTTCTATTGTATCTGCTATATAAGGTTATAGCTTCCTTAATATGCAAAGATGAAACAAGTTTATGCATAAGAGCATACACAAAAGGATAACAAGGAGTGCTGTTGGTTTCCCATAATCTGATTGTATCAGTAAGACTTAGAAGTATTTCATAGTTTTCAGCAGAATATTTCTAGTTCAATAGTCCAGTATTTATTTATATTTATTCTACTAATGTGAACTAAAATTATTTGAGCTAAAATTGTAGTGAACGTTTCTGATAAAGAAATGTCTATATCTCAAGAAACTCAATGTCTGGAACAGTTAGTAGGAACATAATGCAAGTAAACATATGGGAGAAAGGTTAAAAGGACATGAGATTATCTGGGTGCACAGTTCTTAGTCGATAGACTTAAGAAGAATATTGTGTATTGAGAGACTTAAGAAGAATATTGTATATTGAGTATGAACTGAAAGTATGTCAAAAATTTCTCGTTTAGTAGTGATTGAGGGAAGAATGGTGAGAGATATTAGCAGAGAGAGTGAAAATACCTCTGTGACTGAATTTGAGTCTTGGTGAGTTGGCCAGTGCTGGGAAGGGCATGAGGGACAAGCAGTGACTGAGCAGACTTTGCATTTGAATGCAGAGACTCATGCAAGCCACAGAAATTCTTGAGGGGAAATGGGGTATGATTACATATTTTTGCCATCTTGTTTATATGGTTCTTGTGGGATTTTGTTTATGTATCTTGCAAGCCTCTCTATTTTAGGGTTTAATGCTAATATATATGGCTGAAGAGGTTATATATAGTACAGTCATTCTTAGGAACTTTTAAAGCTAACATGAAGAAAAAAATAATGATTGCCAGAGTAGGTAAGAAGATTCTTCTTGTAAAAAGAATCATTCTGGAAAGTAAACTGAAGTATATGTCATGCGCTGATTTAATAACTACATATGATCATTAGCTGCTGCTATATCGCAAGTACAAATACATAAATAATGGGCCTGGAAATCAGCTCTCTGCACGAAAATGTGCTAACAATGGTTAGCATTACAGTCCCAGTCTCCAAGGGGAGATCAGCTTCTGTCCTTCACCCCAGTAAAAGAATGCATTGAATAAACCTAAAACTGACAAATATGAAGAAAAGGTTTTAAATGATATATGTCCGTTATTTAGTGTTAGAGTTTATCAGATTGTTGTATTAAGCACTTTTTCAAGGCTTTTTTTTCCTCCCGTTTTAGGATGAATGTTTGTCTCTGTGCACACAATTAGTGCCATTGCACTTGGAAAGTGTCATGCAGATACTTTGTGTGTTCTCTGGTGATGGTTTATATGTCTAGCTTTTAGTATTTGCAGAAATGTAGTGGCACAAATGCATGTGCCTTAGTGAAATTCTAATGCTTGGTTCAATTCAGAGTGGCTGAAGATTTAATATTTTCCATACAGACTACTTTTGCTTTCCATCTTTCTTGCCTGCAGATTTAACTCTCCTGTGACTCTTTATTTTTATGTGAGGTCTTATTCCTGGCTGAGATCCAATAAGTCAGAGTGAGAATTTGATGTGGTTAATTTTATAAAGATACTCCATTTTCATCACTTTTCCTTGAAGAATTGTGTCAACAGACACTAGGAGGTCTAAAAGGAACTTGTGGCTCTTTAGTCTGCTGTAAAAATACTTTCGAATTGACATAGACAGTAGCATATGTGCAACTGGGAATGAAGGTCACTGGGCCAGAGGACATATTTTAGCTGTGAATGGTACTTGAATATAGAAGCCCATCAGCTGATATTTTGGGTATATTCTCATGGCTTTTGGTTTTTTGAGAGGTCCTTCAGAAGTCATATATATTCCATTTAGAGACCTTTATGGTAATTTGTTATTCTATATTTACTATCCTGGAAGAATACATGCATAAAGCTCCTGTTATCAGAAGGAACAGAGATTGCTAATGCCTGCAAGGTGTAATCTCTGTTTTTTTTCCAGACTTTTTTTTTTTTTTTTTAATTAGAATGTGTCTGCTTGTACAAAAAGGTTAATTTCTCTCTTGCAAAGTGTATGGAGATGAGGAAAGAGCAGTCGGATGTCATTGCAAATTCATGAACTAAATCTACATAAAAACTTCATCATCTTATTTTCCTGCTCTTGAAAGTGAACAGCTAGAAATGACGTGACATATTGTAATGAAGTCTCAGAGTTTCACACATGCCTAACAATGTTAAATCATTTTGCTTTCTCCATAGGATTTTAAGACAGTGCTGTCTTTCCCCCAGTACCCAGGGGAGTTTCTGCACCCTGTGGTATATGCATGTACTGCAGTAATGTTGTTGTGCCTGTTTGCTTCTATTATCACCTACATTGTACATCACAGGTAAGAATTTTGCTATTCCTTGCTAAAAAGACACAGTATTTTAAATAATATTAATTACTGTTAGATAGTAATGTAATTTAGGCTAAAGAAATCATTAAAAGTTTATGTCAGAAATAAAAACAGAATAAAGATTTATGCAAAATGGAAGTCTGTTGTGCATCTAAGTTCTTCTGGGAATGATGAAGAAAATGGAACCTTCTGTCTAAAAATGTGCCAGTTCTTCTAAGCAACAATTTAATGTAATTTGTCACTTCACTAAGCCAGGAAAAAAAAAAAAAAGCAAGTGTCATATGAATTTATGACTTCATTTTTAATTGTATGAAATCCAACATTTTAAAAATGGAAAACATAAATCATTATGACGACCCTTGTTTCCTTCTTGAGATGTATATCTAAATGATCTGTATAGTGTTCCTGAAATTTCCAGCTTGAGAATTTAGGATAACTCTGATATAAATCTACAAGGACCATCAACCTAGTATGGGATGGGTTCTAGTCAATCAGCTGCATTTTGGACAGATAGAGCAGCTGTTTGGGCATATGAGAACAAGCTTGGTTGAAAGCTGTGGAAGCCCTCATTGAATGAATGAGATTTTCTTTGAATTTTAAATCTCCTTTATTTTAGAAAATGTGTGTTTTTCTTTATATAAAAGATTTATACAAATGTCATTTTAACTACATACTTTTGTTAAAAGACTATTAGCAATTTAAAAGAGAAGGAATGTATTGTACTGTAGAAGCTGCTAAATATTAATCAAGTGAACTTAATGCAATGATTTCTCATCATCTGCTTCCATTTAATACTTCAGAAACATCTTGTTACAGTTCTGCTTATCTGAAGCAATTCAATGAGCTTTTTGCTTGTATCACTCTTCATTAGATGCTTGATTGGAAGGCACCTTCAAATCAGTAGACTCTTCTTTTTCCCCTACTGAGTTCAGTGCTGTATAAATTGGGCTCTTGTTCTGTAGTTAAATGGAGTTATGTAGATATTAAAGAATCACAGAGTTCAATTCTGTCATGTTAAATATTTTTCCAAAGTATTTACATAATAGATATATATCTTTAATTTTTTTTTTCAACAGCACAATCCGAATCAGTAGAAAAGGATGGCACATGCTTCTCAACTTCTGTTTCCATACTGCTCTTACTTTTGCTGTTTTTGCTGGTGGAATCAATCGTGTTAAATACCCAATTATATGTCAGGCTGTAAGTATCTGCCTTACTTATTAAAAGAAAAATGAAAACTTGAAGCTACATCTTTTAATATAAGGTTGACAGTTCTCTTCCTGGTCATAGATTGTTCCTGGATCTTAAGGCGTATGTTCTTCAGAATCAGTTATCGTCACAACCATGGCTTCTAAAGGCCAACGGTGAGAGACAGGAACTTCTGTGTTTGGGGCTTGGTTGTGCCCTGAGTTTCTGTGAAAGTTGGGCCAATTTGACCTCCTCTCTGCAGCTCAGATTTCCTTCTATAAAAAACAATCTTAAAATTTTGTTATTGTAATATTTCTCTGTTTTACAAGATTGTTGAAGAGTACTGTTCTTGCATGTTTGTTAATGTCCTTTCTGATCTTTCAATTGAATATGTAGAACTAAAATTAATGCTGCTCTTCTTGAATATAGTACTAGACCACATCTGCCAAAGCAGTGCCTCTAGATTCACTGGGTGATCATTAAATCTATATTTGGGTAGCTTGCTGCTTACAGTGCAAATACTATTTTTTTGATTGCATTCTTGCTCTATTTTGCACCTGATGGGTATGTCCTACAATTTCAGAAAGGCTTCATTAAGCAGAAACATCTGTGACTGCAGTAATTGTCACTAACTATTACCTAAGATATATAGTTTCCCTTTCTGAGACTTACATTTTTAAAAAATAGCACATGTATCTTCTCTTTCTCCTGTGCACAGAGGAACTGACTCTGCCTACTGCTGTCACAGTATTCCTGTCCAATTCAGAAATGACGAGTGTCATGGGGTTTGAGCTTTCAAGAAAATAAAAAATATCACCCATTATAATTCCTTCCTGAGACAGTGCTTTTGCTAGCTAAATTATAAGTTATTCGTTTGGCTTGGGACAATGTCCATTCTTTGAATATTTAAAAAAAAAAGTCATTGGTGTATTGTAATATTTCTATTGTTAGTAAGAAGAGTCAGAATATTAATCTGCTAAGCACTCATGCCACTTCTCAGCAAGCTTCCTGAAAACAGCAGCATGTAAATTGTCCTTCTGTTTTTGTGTATGGATTTTCTTCTTACAGATTTTAGAATCTCTTACCTATTTCAGGTGAAAATATAGCTGAGATAAAATGTTCAACTTGAATAGGTACAAGGAGTAATGAACAGCAAAGCTTGGAAGGACTCCTGTCTAAGAAAAGGAAGCCAAGAACAAAATTGGGCACCTTTTATGTTCAAATGTGTTGTATTACAGGCTCATGAAATTTTAAAGCAACGAACTGTTGTTTCATAGATATTACTAGATGCAAGTATAGATCTTACTGTCTCCATGCTTACTGCAGTGTAATCTTCAGGCTTCTGTGAGATCTTAAATATATTTCAGTTCAAAAAATGACAGAATATTTTAGATCTTTTCAGGAAGGTGTATTGACTTAAACTATTGTTCTGTGTACAAGAAAATATGTCTCTATTAGAATTAATATCTAATTATTTAATCTGTAGCATAACTTGCATAAGTTTTTGCTCTAATTTCCTCTCAGATCCTGGGAAAGCCTTTTGTGCTGTGTCAGGAAAAAGCACCTGTAGATCTGTAAGCACCTACGTTGTTTCATGTGCAAAGTTTAGGTTCATTACATGGTATACATTTAAATGACACAGTTGTCCACTAAATAATTCCAAGATAAATATCAAAATATCTAGTAAACTGCATTGTAATATATCTGTGTATTCCAGCAGATTGAAATATCATTTACCATTGTCTTCATCTGCAGTTTGCAAGTGAGGGGAGCAGATTAGATTGTAGGGCAGCCATGGCCATGTAATTACATGATCACAAATGACCATCTGTTGTTACAATCTTTGTCTGGTTATTTACTTTGCAGATTGCATGGTAACAATGCAGTATTAACGGTGATAATGAAAAACTGATTGAGATAAATGAGTTATTAATAATCTGTTATGAGTAATATATAAACTACATGCATATCTTAATAAAACGCAGTATCAGTGACAGCTGCTTCTTGCTATGATATTGAGCGAGATCCTGAGCTGCTGAGAAATAGGCACAGCTAGAGAAAATGAACAGAACCGAGCACATATGCCTTTTGTTCCATTTCATAAAGTTATTTATTTGCCTGACACCATACCCTATCAACAGGCAGTATCATCAGCTGTTGAGATATAGGAAGGAAGCAGGGCACACAGGACACGGACAAACTCCTTGGATTCCTACTGGAAGATGCCTGATGGAACTAGATAGGGCAGACTGACACATCTGTCCAGATAATCTAATTCAACACTCCTCAAGGTGAACAAATGTCCTCTCCCAGGACATTCCCAATCCAGACTCTCCCTTAGCTGCTCCCTTACCAACAGTAATATTTGAAAAAATTTTGTGGGTCCCAGTTTCCTCCTGTGATAACTTTTAGAGGATTACTGCTAAAGTAAATACCTGAAAATTAACCTTTACTTTGAGAAACCTAGGAGGAAGAGAAATCAGATCTTCTGAAGTTCTCTTGAGTAGTTCATGTATTTGAGCATTTCCCATAGAGTTTCTAAGCAGTGGTGGGGTGCACACTCCTCCTTACCTACTGCTGTAGTACGTATAGCCATTCTTTAGATCAATCTGCCCAATGGAAGGTGTTTGCCAAGCTGTTCTGGGCTCAAGTCTCCCCCAAGCATATGCTTTGACTCTTTTTTCCTCTTTTTCCTTAAGTTTTGGTGTTACTGTTTAAGAAGAGATTTGTGAGAATGTTGTGTTTGTAACACCATTAGTGCAAGTATCTTTTTATCTGTTACAGTTCATAGCACAGCTTCACTCCTAAGCAGTGTGATTTGCACTTTTGGTTCCTAAGCGTGCCGTGGAAGATTCCAAGTGCAAGCTTTTTGTCATAGCCGCTGGAACACAGTGTCAAAGCCAGTGAACCTCTACGTTGCTTACTGCAATTATCTCTAAAACTTTCACATAAATTTCACTGTCACATCCTTGCCTAAGTGAATAATAGACTGAGGAGTTTTTTCTTCCTAATTAAGCAAAAACAGTGGTTGTAAAATAACTTCAGTTGGATCACCTTCCCACTTCTAAATGAGATGTACCAGGCTAATTTTACACGGCAGGAATTAATGCAATGGAGATGGACCCATTTTCTATGATATAATTGGAAGAACCTTCATATCTCCTTGAAGGGGAAGTAATTGAATTGAGAAGTGTGTTATCACAGAGAGTTAGACATTTATTTTTATCTGGAATCTAACAATCTAAAACTACCTTTTAAGCCAGTCTGTCTATGCCAGAGAAGATTTTGTGTAGACCGTCTCACTTGGCTGTTTGCTGTGTCCTCTTGTTATTTGCAAAGAAATATTAGAGTGCTAGTCTTGAAGATCCTTGTGCTGTTTCACAGATTTCCTGTGTGACTCAGGTATATATGTGCAGATACACAAATCAGTGAATCTAATTCTGAGTGTCCCGGAGGTCTGGCTGCTGGGGTGGAACCCAGAGCTTTGAGCTGGTGCCAGAGTCCTTCAGACAATGCCAAGGATGTGTTAGGAACAGCAGAACAAGATTAATCATCGCCAGTGCACTGCACAGGAGGGTGCTTGAGCGAGCCAGCAGGTGATGTCCTCAACACCTTGCATATCCATGGCTCTCAGATTTATTTCCTTCAGAGGGCAGAAGGAGGCTCGTTCTTTTCACATGAGGAATGAGATGTAGGAGATATGTCTGTAGTTGGAGGCATTGGTACCCTGTTTGAAAGACTTCTGTGTCACTGCTCCTCATTTCCGAGCTGGTGTCAAAATCATTAGGCTGTGGCTACTAGGGGATGAAGTGGTCAGTGCTGAAGTGCAGGAAGATTAGGCATAAGATCTGGAAAGCAGAGAATGGATGTGAATTTAGCTAGACCGAGGATGTCCTAGAATTAGAAGCTGCATCTTGGGTAGGAGATTATAATAGAGGAGGAAAAGAGCAGTTCTTTCCACTGTGCTTTTGGATGCTATGCTATGCTTTTGGAATAGATGCATGAAACCAATGCGTTTTGATGAAATTTCCCTGTCAGGACTCCTCAAGATATATACAGAACAGTGTTCTCTAATGGCTTTTTAGAGGTCTTTGCTGAGGTGGATGTTGGACTGCTCAGTTCTGCTGAAACATGGCAGAACTAGACATATGTGCTAGCAAGACTTTCGGTGGTTATGGACTCTATTAGCAACAACCTGTGACCACTAGAAACTTTGCACATGATGGGCTTGGATGGGCACCCTGAAGATTTGTCCTTGAGGACGCAGGGAGCTGCCTGGTGCATCTTGACTTCTTGCTTTAAACTTTCTGTCTATGAGGTGGGAATAGGGCAGTTCTAAGGCTGAACAAGATTATTAAATACTTGCACATTGGTAGTAATATTGGAGACCAAGCAGAAATTCCTTTATTCCTTCATTTCACTGAAAAGAAGCATTTCCTCTTCAGGCTTAATGGTTTAATCAGAAAGTCAGAGCATATCCATACCTTCCTTTAGATAGAAATGGGTTGAGAAAGGAGAGTCTTATCTGAAATACAATTGAGAAGAAAGAAAAAATGAAATTAAAAACTAGGAGAAAACAAAGATATTTGAGTATAGGTTAAAGCTATTCAAGAGACCTTTATGTGCCAAAATGTTAGGTAGCTTTACATAAATGTGTATGCTGGTCATTGCCATGGCAACTGCAAAATGGTGTGGAACTTAGGCTACTTCTAAGGTACTGAAATTTATTGAAGGCGCACATGCTTGTATGTATGTACTGAAGGCACATCTTCTTACTCTGGAAAACGATAATCTCCTTTTCAGTAGGCTGGTATTTATTCCCAAAGATAAGAGTTCTAAACACACAGCACACTAAAAAATGAGTTTAAGGGAACAAGGAAATTTTCACAGTATTAATAGCAAATATTAAGCAGCTTTAAACGCAATGCTGGCCTCACTGCCAGTGTCCTGACTGTTCCGTTTGACCTGTCAATGGAAAACTTTCTTATGAATAAATATGATCATTTTGTTTTGTGAGAAAAACGGAGCCCTTTGCACACATTTGTCTGGTATATTTTGTGGTGAAGGTAAGCTCCATTTATGGTGAAAACAGGTCTTAACAGGTCTATACAAATCCATCAACGAAATGTTCACAGATGGACTCGTACCTCATGCTCATACTCAGGCTCTTGGGTGCATAAACCTATTTGCTAACGGAGCTAAGTCACCATTTACTGAATAGGGTAATGGTCCTGCTTCCCACTCTGCTGAGCCTTGTCTTCCAATTCCATGTCACTCATGTGACACAGTAGCTCATGTATCATGCAGCAGGCTTGGACATCTTCCTAGCTGCTGTCCTACTGAGAGGGACACAGCACATGTTCCTCTAACCAGCTGCATCTGCCCGGTGGCATGACTGAGCTCTCGATGGGGGAAACAGAGCTCAATGGGCAGGAGGAGAGCCCACCACCAGCGTTTTGAAGAGCAGGCATGACAAGCATTTCTTTACAAATAAAAATACAGATAAGACCAAAAATTCTTCTCCAGGAACCTTTTTTATGTGATGGGAAGTGAGAGTCATCATCAGTTAAAGAAAAGGATGTCCTTTCCTTTGCATTTAAGTATAAAAGCTTAGTGCATCCTTCCAAATTCCATATTTTTTGTCATATTGCTTTATCTCCAGATAGTCTCCATTTTCCTTCAAATCTGGCAATTGTCAATAGGTCTGTATCACTAGACTATATCCTCTTTTGCCTTAAGAAAGAAATGCAAATGAAATTTTCTGAGAAACATACTTCTGAAGAGTTAGTACAGAGGCTGATCACATTTTTATCCCTTTTCCATGCTTGCTTGAGATGCTCATACAGCAGAAGGGACTCAGTTGCTGAAGAACATCTTTTCTTCACATTGTAAGGAAAGAAAAGAGAGTTAGGGATGGCATAGCCATGATATTTTCAGTTGATTTCCCTCTTTGAAAGTTGAAATTTAAAACCGTGACATTGCTTTATGGCATTATTTTGGGGAATCTCATCATAAATGAGATCCTGTGGTTCTGTGATCCATATAAGCACCTGGTCTTTTCTGCATGTATGACAACATATATAGTGTCTGAATTTCACCAGTTGATGCATCTCTCTGAATTCATCCTTGTGTTCTTGATTCGTTGGCGTGTGCAGTTAGAATAATTACAGAACATATAGCAGCAGTGCTGTGCTGAAATGAGAATGAAATCAGGAGTCAAGTCCTTAGATTTTTTCCACCTTTTCTTCCTGGTTCCTGCTGTCTTCATCCTCTTTCCCTTTCTACCTTCTTTTTCTCCCCAGCCCCTGCTCACATTTCTCTTCACTGTGTCCCTACAGAAATGCTGCAAGCTGCAGATGAACCAAGCCCAGACAGCACTAGCCACCGAGCTGGCAGTGTCTGCCAGCTGATGGTACAAAGTTGTCTCATTCTCTTATTTCTGCTTCTTCTACCTCAAGCGACAAGGGCTATGAAGGCTTTATTCTCCCTTGTCTAATGTGTCAGACAGGTCCCAGAGAAAATTACAAAAGGCTTTCTGTTGATGATATTTGCTGCTACGTTCAAGTTTTATGCTATGTGACTAAAGATAAACAAAATTCTTGGATTTTTTCCTTTACCCATCAATTATTTTGTTTCAACTTGAGCAAAAACGGAATACTGGTTCAAAGAAATCGTTGTAATAGATTTGTGTTAGCTTTATTCAGCAGTTCTCTGTATTTCTTAAACATTTATGTGCTTTCCAATTATAGCAATATTTTACTTGTCACTGCAAAATGTCAGGTTATTGCTTCAAAGGTAACCTCATTTTATATAATCAGATGGAGACTTAGCTAATGTAATAAAGCACTGAAGATTGGATAAAATTCCAATTACTGTTTCCATAGTAATGAATAAAAATTTCTAGCATAACACAGATGTTAGTATCTTAGTGGTGTTTGTATGTTATTTTACTTTTTTAATGATATACACACCAGTCTCTTGGAGACATCATAATAATAACACTGTTGAAAGTTTGCATTTCCTTTTGATAGAGGACACTGAGATCTGTCATTTAATTTTTAAAATTGCATGGCCAAGTTTATAAATCCTTTAAGACGTATTTGAAAAAAAAAATGGCAGCTAGCACTGATCCCAAACAAATTATTGGTCATTTAAAGAAGTTATTCTTGGTTATATGCAGCTGAGAAGGAACTACAGCAGGATGTTTTAATATATTTTGCTGAAAATTGAAAGGGGGTAAAAGCATAACAGCAAACAAAATTCTGCCCTTCTACCATGTTTGATTGTGTTGCCTACAACGTGATAAGCAATGCGGAATCTGATTTTCTATTAACAAAGTTTGCAACACAAATTAAGCTTCATTTTAAATCTAGATGTAAAATTTATCTCTAATCTGGTTCTTATAAAACATTTGTTTTCTAGTCTTGATTTCATAACGTGCCATCTGGTAACACAGATATTAGCTGTAATAGATTAAATCACAGATTCCATGTTCTTTTTAAAATTATTTCCATTCCCTTGCATTTATCAGAAATAACCAGAGAGATATAAAAGTTGATGCAGTTGCAAATTTGGTTACTTTGAAAAATGCATTTGTTTGTACATTTATGTAATAAAATGATTCTAGAAAGTCTGTTTTACTGATCCTTGTGTTGACGTGTTTAACTGTCATCACTTGTTCCAGGTGGGCATAGTATTGCATTATTCTACACTCTCTACCATGCTGTGGATTGGAGTAACTGCAAGGAATATTTATAAACAAGTCACAAAAAAACCTCAACCGTGCCAAAACGGTGACCAACCTTCTTATCCAAAACAACCACTACTCAGGTATGGAATATTAACTATATATTTTTTGAATGTTCCTAAAAAAAATGTAAACAAATGTTTACTTTTATTGCTATATGCTTTATTTTTAAACTATAGCTAGGACATGAGTCCTTTAAGGTTGTATGAAAATCTAAATATTTATTGTATGCTGATAACGAATGCTACTCAGAAGATGCAAATATGTGGAGCTGGTGTAGACTAGGTTCAGAGAGCTTGATCTGAAAAGGAGCAACTCAAGTGTTTCTGTTGGTTTCCTATGGAGCAAAAAAAAAAAAGTGGCTTCTTTCTGGCTTAAGGCATTATTTAATCATCAGAAACTACCCTATAATGATTTTCCCTTTACCCTTATCTTCTCTCCTATAAATCTTGCCCATCCTTGTATTGATTGCCTAGTAACCTGATAGTGACCTTCCTCATCCCACACCAGAAATCTAATGCTATTACCAGAGAGAATGAAAGTCTGGGCTCCCTATCAGCTTTCTAGATGAAGCAGATGAACAAACATGACCCTGACAGTGTGGCAGGTGGAATGTAGCAAGAATTTCAACCAGGTGCCCATGACATTCTGTACCTTCAAGCTGAAATATGCGGTCTTCAGAGAAAAGGGGAAAAAAGAGAAAAAAAAAAGACTAAGTTGCGGCAAACTCAGGTTTCCTACTATGGACATGAGAAGTGGGATTTCTTCCTTCATCTTTCTTGACTTTAGCAATTTGGATTAGGTTTTGGACAAAGATACCTGGTGTCCCTCTGTAGATTTTGGAGAGATACAGAGAACAACTTCCAGATCTCAAGAAAAAACAGATGGACAATTTAGGTTAAACACTTCAGTTTTACGTAGCGAAAGACAGGAAGGATGAATTCTCTCTGTGGCTTTGATGAAAAATCCTGATTAGTGTGCTTTTGTCAAGACACTTTAGTCTGAACACCAAATGTGGATTAAGTGGCTGTGTGAGCTTGTTGCAATGTGTTGAAATAGCACAGAAATCTGAATTGTGCTTTGTTGTCCAGGTTTTGTTGAGTGAAATCATTACTAACTTAAGTTCTTTGCTTTCTAGACCATTTTTTTTTCCAGAGATGAAACTGATTAAAGTACACATAACATTTGTATAGGAAAGAGAAGGGTCATATAGATCATCAGATGAAAGCAGGAAGAAATGTTTGAGCTGAGAGAGCCTGACTTTACTAATTCATGATTTACTGTGCCATTCTTCACCAATGTGAATTTCCCTCATTCAGTTACTAGCACACGGCAAAATGAATAATTGCCCATCCCCAAAGGCTGCAGTGTGGCTATTAAGGCAGAAAATTGTTTCAGGTTACATAGACTTAGCATAGTGTATGTTCTTCAAATTCAAATCTTGTTAGAGTTGGAAAACAGCAGACAATTGGGTTACAGAAAAGATTGCTTTAATTAGAATTCTTCTTGTACCAGTCATGTTGAGGTTCTCAGCCAGTGAAAATAAATAGCAGATATTTTAAGCTTAGTAATAGAAATGATAAACCTACTTTTAGCTGTAAAGGAACATGAATATAATTGTTTAATAGCTAAATAAATGATTATGGAGTTATTTTTCTCACTGAAGGCAGCACGCATCCTAGAGACACAGCCACTGAAATGTCTAATATGATTCCATAATGGTTGGCAGTAGCTTCAAAGTAGCAAGGATTAATTTCATTTCATGTAGCAAACCGGCATAGTATGTGGAAAATTAAAAATTGCTTTAAGCACGAAAATGCCAAACTCATAATTAGTAATTGTTGTTCTTCTAGAAGGATAATGATCATTTTTATGGTCATTTTAGCTTTCCTACTTTTAATAAAATTAAAATCAGAATTATTTTATATCATATTTACATAAAATCAATTTAAGATGCTTGTATTTCAGTCCACCCATGTACAGCACAGTGCTGTATCTAGAAGCTGCTGCTTGATTTTATACTTATTGTGCCTCAGGTACCTGAAGGATAACAACACAGTTTTGCTGGGTCTGGGTTTGGGTAGGGTGAAGAGATGTTAGTGTATGTGTGTATATATATTTGTGTGTATATATATATATATGTATTATGACAGTAGTATATAAAAATATTAAGTTTATTCAAATGGACTTAAGTTGTTTTATATGTATAGACTATCAGGACTAATAAATATATAAGGTAACAAGACTTTTTTAAACAGGATTTATCAGTAATCAGTATATTCTGGCCTAGTTTGAATTATCTTTGTTTTTTGATTAATGTAAATACATACGTATGTTTGACAAGAACTGCACACTTTGCTCTTCTCCTTCAGTCCTTTATGGTAATTATTATATAGGTTAGATTTGTAGTTCACATATGAATGCTTTTCTCTTCTTCTTGCATACATTTGTTGTATGAGATACAGGGATCTAGTTTCTGTAAGTCACTGTAAATATTGCCCAAAAAAACCCCATAAATCTGAGGCATTTGGAATTTACCAAAATACCTTTTTTTAATTCCCTGGCCACATCTTTTTCAAGGAGCTTAGTTCACTTTCAAAGTAGTAAAAACATGTATCAAAATGTCTGAAAGAAGACCTGAGCTGTGAGTAGAAAAGGACACTTGGTATGTACTTGCTTCAGTATCTCTGCCTTGCCATTTGCATATGCATTTGCAGAAGCAAGATAAACGGTGAATCCTTGATCTTTTCCACCTAGTTATCTCTGAGCTGTGGCAAGGTCTATTCAATTATGTAAAATTATATTAGTTTTCTATTAGTTTTCTGTTGTTTCTAGTTACAGTGATCAAATTTGAAATCTTTTTGCAATGTGAAGGGTATCATTACATACATGCTATTCTGCTGTAATTACTGAATTCTCCATGGCAGTTCTGGCTATTCTCCATGGCAATATAATTTTAAATATTGCCTCTTTTTGTACATTAATCAAGAATTATATAGCTAAAGCTCTTAGGGCCTACTACTCTGATGAATGAAACTATTACTATTCTGGTATTTCCACCAAATGTGCCTGGGTGTTAATGAGATAGATCAAATTAATGCATCATTGAATTTCATGTATTTAAATACTGAACCTTAGTACTGCAACACATAATGAAATTACTTCTGTAAAATACACTCTTTGGAATGCTTAATAGAAATAGATAACTCTGTTCATCCTCTGTGGACATTTCTGAAACACGACAGTGTTTTGGCTTCTGACTCATCTGATGTCAGATTTTGCCATCAAAGACACAAGGGGCACAGAAGATTCAGCTATTAGATGTGATGTACCAAAGTGTACTCAGTCCAAGCTGAGTACATCAGCTTAAAATCATTCTTTTTCCACATAGAGTGAACAAAATTAGGCTATTCTCCTTTTTAGTAGGATTACTCCTGAGCAGAGTTGCACTATAAACATTTATATTAACAAATAACCTGCCTGCTGGGCTAAAGATTGGTGTTAAAGAAATAGATTATTGCTATCTTTAATTTCAGAATATGTCCTATTTTCCTCCATCCTCTGTTATTCTCTGAGCATCTTGCAAGGTAGCTAAAATATAGCAAACTTCAGGCTACTGAAGCCAATTTCCTATCTCTGTCATGAAAAACTTCCAGGGCATACATAAAGTGCAAAGTCAACTCCAAAATGGATAACAAATGATGCCGCTGTTGCTATTGAACTTTATCTTGTTTACTGTGTAGTACACAAAATATATGCCTTCGCGATACACTTTTTTAAAAAGTTCCTACTAAAAGCTGTAGGACTTCTAGGAAAGTATCTCATTTTGAAATTTCAAAGAGTGTATATATTCAGCTATGGATACATGAATGGACTACATGTCTCTGCTTTCTTATTCATAGTCCTAAGCTTAGCTCAACTAGCTATTAAAAACAACTATATAGTAAAACAAATATATAGTATTTTAGGAAGAGGAAAACTCAGGCAAAGTAAGGCTGTTTTCAGCAGGACTCCTAGAGGACTTTTGATCAATATTATCGACTTGGATTTGACTCTCTTATGGCTTTTATCTTTAAGTAGTTTTACAGTTAATAATCACTTTCATAATGGGAAAAATGTTTGAATATTTCATGTATTTTACAAAGTTATTTCATGTATTTCAAATTTCATAGAAATTTCATTTTAACTGGGGCTCAGAACAGACCTATAAATAGGAGCTGAGAACAGACATGTTTCAAAGAGCTCAACTAAAGAATTCATTCAAACTATAATATCAAACTATAATACACACATATATATGTGTATGTTCTATATGATCTTAAGTATGGGTGATTTGTGGGACTCTACATCATCTGTACACTTACAGAGTATTGAGGCGTGTCTTGAAAGTAGCAGAAAAGGAAATCTTCCTCATGGGCTGTGTTAGTGGTGTGGCAAGGACTAGCAACCTAAACCCTCATCCCATCCAGGTGCAAAGGGAGATAATGTTTGGTTTCCATTCTCCTCTCCCTCCTCTCTTGTGGCAGCAGCTCTTCACAATCATTCCCTCAACTTCATTAATACTTCCCTCAACTTCCCTCAATGTATTAACTACGTTAATACTTCCCGCAACTGCATTAATCGATAGTATCCAGGTGAATAGTAGACAGGCATCTGTGTGTATGACTTTGATTTCTGTTAATGGAAAAAGAGAAACATTGCTAAACTTTCACATCCAGGAAGACTATCTTCTCTTTTCTGATTTGTATCACCAAATCCTGTGATGAGCCTCTTGCCGTGCTGTGAGGTGACCTTACAGACTTTGCACGATGCAAGGATTAGAGCCTCTTCCTCATGTCTTGTTTGGGCTGTTAACCCTGCTTGTCGCAGGATGAACTTTTTCAGTGCTTGGTCTGAATTCTGAGTGAATTCTGGAAACCAGCTCGTGAGCACAGATGGGCTATTGCAACACACTGCTGTGTTTGATAAACTGCAGATACCGAGAGAGCCTGCCTGGAAGTGTTGTGACTTCCATCACAACCTGATGATGTGGCAATTTTTACTGAATAATCTCAGATACAGCAGAGCAGGCTTTTTTTCCTGA